TAAATCGATAAAATTGGCACCCCAGGGTGTGGCTTAGTGGTCAATGAAGTGGTTGAGAGTCATGAGGTCTTAGGTTCAAATCCCAACTGAGACGAAAAATACTATGTGATTCTTCGCATATGTCCTAGCCTTGGTGGACTAAGGGCCCGTTTGGATGGGCTTAATAAAAGCAGCTTTAAAAAAGTACTTTTGAAAGTGCTGAAACTTATTTTTAAAATAAGCAGTTATGTGTTTGGATAAAAGTGCTGAAGTTGCTATGCCAAACATGAAAAGGGAAAAATGGAAGAAAGAGATGTTAGGGTTATGTGGATAATTTGGAGATTGTATAAAAATATTAAGGGCAAAAAGATAAAAATGTGATCAACTTAAAACAGCTTATAAGCCAAAAAAAAAAAGCACCCCTACCCCAGCTTTTAACTTTTGGCTTAAAATAAGTTTTTTTTAACTTAAAATATGTTATTTTGAGTATTGCCAAACAGCTAATAAGTCAAAAATCAGCTTTTACCAAACAGGCTCTAAGTTGGGAGGTGACAAATATCCCATGGAATTAGTCGAGGTGCCTAAAAGCTGGCTTGGACATTACGGCCATAAAAAAAAGCTGATATTACTGTTCGCACCAGAAACAAGAAGGCTAATGCAATTCAATATGATCTTTTGTACTGCATTGCTGCTGTCTAAGGAAAAAACCTTCGGGAGAACCATTGATGAGGATTGAGAATTGAGTGTTGAAATACAGTATCTTATCCAGTTAATCCATTTTCCTCCAAAACTTGTGCATGAGAGCAACTTCAGTATGGCCAATTGACATGATCATAGGCCTTTTCAGTGTCCAGCTTTTGGAATTAGCTACTCCATTGGCAATTAGGACATCCATTATTTGTCTTTCTTTAATGAAAGGCATATGTTGAACATCCACCAGCTTATGAACAGCCCTTTTCAATGTCTCTGTAAGAACCTTTGGTAGTAGCTTGCACATACTTCTTATAAGGCTTATAGGTTTAAGTCCTCTCAAATCCTTGGCTCCTGTCTTCTTAGGAATCAAAGCTATGTTAGGCGTGTTGAGTTTTTTCTCAAAAACACCATGAGAATGGAAATTCTTGAAAGTATCCATGTTTTCCTGCTTCAGCACTTCACAACATTTGATGAAAAAACTCATTGTGTAGCCATCTTGACATGTTACACCTCTTGCTTATCAAAATTCCTTCGTAGAGCTTCTTTTTCAACTTCGGTGATGGCTGGGCAAATGATAAAATTGCATGATGGTCTCCGGTCCCGAGTCTCAGTGTAAAGCTTCCTATAAAAATCAATTATTACCCCCCTTAATTCCAACTGGATCTTCCACTTGTTCATCTTGAATTACTAGTTGGTCTATAATACTATTTCTCTTATGAGCATTTGCCACTTTACGAAAGAAGTTGGTATTCTTGTCCCCTCCTTGAGCCCATAAGGCTCAGGGTCTGTCTCCATTGGAATTTTGTTCTCCTGTACAACTTCCAGATTAGCCAGTTGACTCAGAACTTTCTATTAATCAGAAAATTCCTCCATGGCTGGAGTTCTTCTCTTGCAATTTCATTGCTTGGAAGGAAACTTTGTCACATTAAAATCTCCACAAACAGTGCATGGCCCTTCGAACAGTTCCGTAATGACTCCGGTTTCCTCCACTCATTTTCCCTTTCCAGATTACAGTTTGGGGCATATACTCCGATTACGTGGCACTCAAAAGTCTTGAAGATGTGCGACAAACTTGCAAGTAATAGTATATAATCCAATTTCCAGAGCCTCCCCTCTCCATGCTATATCATCCCACAACATCAGAATTTTCCCTCTTGTGCCACTTGCTTCTAGGCCGGAAAATTTCACCCATCTCCCTCCCTGTAACTCTTTGACAATCTCTTTGGCATCCCCCTCCAACTTAGACTCCTGAAGACAATGATATCAGCCTTTCAGTTGTACATAAGGCTCTTCAGAATTCTTATTTTAACCCTATTGTTTAATCCTTACATTCCATGTCACCAATTTAAGTTTCATTGTAAAAGGTTGCCATCTTTTCCCGAACTCTCCTCCCATCACTTTTGATCTTAACATCAAAAGAGGTGAGCCCCTTGAGTTCCTGTGTCCCTTTGTATCTAGGCTTCTTTAAAGATGCCTCGTCTCCGGGAGCCTTGCCTGTCTGCAGCTATCTATTTGCATCAGTAGTTCCCATGCTTCTTCTTCATTCTCCTGGAAGTCGACCCTGAGAATTTTATCAAGAAGTTGAGTTTCATGGTTGTCATTAAATACTGATAATGGTTTTAGGTTAGCCTTTACATGTCTTCCGTTAGTTTGTTAATATTCCATGTTTTAATCTTTTCAGCTACTGCCTTGATAAAATTCCCAGTACATTTGATGAATTTGTCTATTGGGTCTGTGATGATTGTGAGGTGAAGGTGCCAAATGAACTCACTATCATGAATTCTGTTGGCGTCCCACCAGAAAATTGCACTAGTTCAAGACATCTTAAAGCAAGTTCTGAAGCAAAACTTGATATTCCTCCATCGATTGCTGAGGTAGATCTAACGGCGGTTCAAAATAAGTCTTCCGAGAAAGATGTTGAGAAACATCCTAGAATTGATTTGGTAGAGCATAGTCACTTAGATAAGAAGTCTAATCCTACGTCTCTGATAGATGAGAAAAACTGTATTCATGCTGTCGTGGAACAAGCACAACCTGTTCTTGATCCTATTTGGAGGTGAGGAGATATCTCACAGATTATTCACTTGGGTGATAATTCATCAATATTGACCTGTTGTATTGTGAATGAAAATGTCCGTTTTCTTGCACTTCTTCTGGCAGGGGTGGTTTTACCATATGGAACAAAGAGTATAAGACATTTGATGGACTTGTTGCTCACCTATCAGTCAAAGCATGCCAAAAGGTTTTTGAAGAAGCGAAGTTATTTTCACTTTTGCTTCACTTGGAAATGCTTCCGAAATCTGATATATGGCCTAAGAGTTTCAATACATTAGAGCCTAGAGTTGATAACATTGCATTGTATTTCTTTCCTTCGGATGCAAGGTAATTACTTTATATTTTCACCATTTTACACATAGTTTCTTCATATTCGCGTTGTTGACATTTTATTTTCTCAGTACAGATACGAGCAGGATTTTGATCATTTGATTGAGGAAATGATTGGTGAAGAACTTGCTCTCCGAGCAGTTATGACAAATGCAGAGCTGTTGGTTTTCACATCCACAGAACTTCCCCTGCAAAACTGGAGTAAGTTTTCACTCGATGATACACCAAAGGTTAGATCTTGATTTCATTGTTAAGTTTTTTGATGAAATTGGTTGGCAGGATTCCAACACAAACACTACTTATGGGGCGTTTTTAGAGCGAAGCAGGAATCTAGTAGCTCTCAAATGGTATCGAACAGGGCTAAATCTGTCACACTTCAAACTCCTGTGAATGTTTTGGCTGCCGTAGATCATATAAACCTTGTGAAACTCAACACTTCTCGTGCTGAGAGTCCTATTAGCACTTTAAGCAATAACGTAAGCTTTGGGTCTGGCACTTCCTGAAGCATCTGTCCTCTTCTTTTCATGTTGAGCTTCTCAATATGAGCTAGTTTCTGTACCATTTGACTGACATGGAAAATTTTGATACCTCACGGATGCGTTTGTGGGCTGTTGGTAAATAACCTGGTGGAGAACGCGACAAAGCTTGTCTACTGGGATTTGGTCTAATGGTAAGAGCGTATCACATGATGTGAGAGTTTAGACGTACATGACTGGCTAAGTGAATAAGGGATGAATCCATTATCCACCAGATCTCTGGATCTTTGTTCTGCTGGTTCTCAGAGATTTCTTGGTTATTAAAAAATAAAAACCGAGTTTTTTCTTCAGTTGAAGAACCTGATGTCCTGTGAAAATGCTAACCATTTGTAACATGTCATCTGTTTAACTGTACATGGTAGTAGATAAAGGGTGGTTGTTTTGGAAACCGAGTTTTGCTCCCATAGTGACTCGAACAGCTTGGATGTGAAGGTGTCTATCATCTGAGAAACTCGTCTTGTCTATTTCGGATTATAGGGACGAGGTTTGATTATGTGTAATTTATATGGATATTAGCACTTGTGGTCTCAATTATTGGTAAATTCTTATTTTGGTCGTTGTTGAGATAATGACTAATGGCATTTAATCTTCACTCAATTAAAAATGTATGTTGTTGGTCCATTTATGTAAGGAGTAGTAATTTATATTTGGATTATTTTTAGAACTATACTACTTATTAACTAAGTAACAACACAAAGTTAAATAGTTTTGGAGAATTTGTAAATATTAACTAGTAAAGGGATAAAAATACACATTTTAATTAATTGAAAATAATAAAATATTGACCAATTAAGGGATCAAAAGTATGATTACCCCAAGTTGCAAGTAGATTCACAACATATATACAAATAATCAGCAAAAGGATATTAATTTATGAGAAAAATAGAATACGAGGTAGAACTATGTAGGATAAAAAAATTAAATCATCATCAATATTTAATGAGAATCATGCCAAAGAAAATAATAATTATATAGTGTAAATGAATGCTTAGTCTGAACTTGTCATGATCACCTAATAAATATATATGTTTAAATAACAATCATAAAAAATCACTAAACTAACCTCTACTTATTTGAGACTCAATTATAAATATTGTTATTGTTATAATACTATTAAGAACTTTAATTTTGTTGTTTCAACATTTATTTAACACATATATTAGCAAAAAAAAAAAGAGTTCCATTGAGCTTCTCGTAGAAGTACAATAATATATCGCTCACTTCTTACAATCTAACTTGTGTATAAAAATATTTCATCGAGTTTCTCATAAAAACACAAACGTATTTGACTTTTGTATAAAAATAATCAAATATACCTCGAAAATTTAGTAAAAGGTCAAATATACCCTTGAATTTTACGAAAAAGATCAAATATAGCTTTTTATTTTTTTTTGACATTTTTGACCCTATACTCTTCTTAATTTAAATCCCCAAAAATTCAACATTAAGGTCCTTGCACAATTGAAGTGTTCTTCAAGCCATCAAAAACTCAGTCTCTCTTCATTAGCAAAAGCACTTTGCGAAAAACTTCGATTCGTTTCTCTAAAATCACTCTCCAATGTCGGTAAGTTCTTCTTCTTCTTCCTTCGTTCTATGAACTGCACAATTTTTTTTTTCCTTTTTATGCTTAGTACAGTTATAAAACCTAGTTGTTTTCGTAGATCGAATTTGATATCTGATAAAATAGTGTATTTTTTTCAATTTTTGGTGAATTTTTTGAACAGATCTTTGAGTATAATGGAAGTGCTTTGGTTGCGATGGTTGGGAAAAACTGTTTCGCTATTGCGAGTGATAGGCGTTTTGGAGTACAGCTGCAGACAATCGCTACTGATTTCCAGAGGATTTATAAAATACATGACAAGCTTTTTATTGGACTTTCTGGCTTGGCTACTGATACTCAAACACTGTAATGTCTAATTTTGTTTTAATTCTGTTTCTACTGATTTTTGCTGGCTAAAGATTACTACTAGCATGTAAGGGTGTGAGTTAGTAGTCAATGAAGTGGAGGGAGAAACATGAGGTTTCAGGTTTGAATCCTAGCAGAAATAAATACTAGGTCATTTCTTCCCATATGCCCTAGGTTTTGGTGGTCAGAGTTATTAGTACCTGTTGTGGGTGGGAGGTGGAAGGTATCATTTGGAATTAGTTGAGGTGCGCCCAAGCTGGTTTGGAAACCACAATTGTAAATAAATAAAAGTAAGATAGGACACAAGAAAGAAAAAGATCAATTTAGGTGATATGTGCAGGCTATAGACTTATTACAGAACTTCTAATATTATTATTTTTTATCTTTATTGTGTATACTTAACTTATTTGGCACTGAGGTGTTGTAGTTGTAGTTATTATTAGTACTGTTTTTGCTCCCTCCCCATTGTGTTGGGTGCTTTAAGCCTTTTTTTTGTGAACTACCATCATTTATTAAAGGACCTATTTCTTTATTTTTGAGAGATTTATAGGACATTAATTAGAGAAGTATATTGGAGTAGAAATTTAATATTTTGAGTGGGAGTTAGTGATTACTGACAAAGAGGAAGGCTTCCTGTGGGTTGGGTGTGTGGAGAGTGGACAATAGAGGGTGAAACTGGTGTTTTACTTATTTATTGCTGATGCATTCTTATTGATTGTGGAATGGGGAGGGGGTATATTACAATCTGCTTATTAGTAGTTTGATTTGTTTGGATTATGCACCCTGATATGTGCTTTTGTAATGGTTTCTTCAGGCATCAACGCCTCATGTTCCGTCACAAGCTATATGAGCTTAGAGAAGATAGGGATATGAAGCCCGAGACCTTTGCCAGCCTTGTATCTGCTATGCTTTATGAGAAAAGGTTGGTAACTAGCATATGTTCTTTGACGTGTGTTAACGTATAGTTACTGAAGATTACATGGTGTCAGAGTCATAATTGCATGTTCTTGAATATGAATAGCATTTTTGGAGATTTGATGAGAGTTGTTAATTGAGTAGTAAGTGGTTAAATGGCTGCCTTTAGAGTCAATAGGACTTTCAAGAACTTTACTGTACTTTCGTAAGATAGGTGAGGTGTGTGCAAGCAGGCCCATATATTTTTGAAAAAGAGAAGCTAATGTTTGGTGGCTTGTTCCACAAGTATTTTTGAGCCCAATAGTTCAAACCCTTTAGTTTCAAGCTCAAACTAGCTATTGATCCGTTGGATCTTAGATTTAAGTTGACTTTAACTGATGAGTGGGCTGAGACATCATTTTCCATTTAATAGACTAGATCTGAGGTTTCATTTATTAGATTCGAAGAGAGGAGAATAGAGAGAAAAGAGATATGAAGAATGAGTAAAGAAAAATCAGATCTTAGAAAGGACTCTTTAGTGTGAAAATATTTTCTATATTGTATCCAAAGGTTACTCAAGATAGGACGATGTGCTCAGTTATTAATTTAGGTAGAAATCACATCTGATGAGATGTTCTTACTTTTTAAAAAAATTTGTAATTCCACTACTTGCAATACCCCCCCCCCCCTCCCCCAAGCCTCCATAATGCAGACATATTTTAAACATTATACATTGATTTTAGAGGTATGATCCATATGAAGTGGTTAATTAACTTTCTCTTCGAACATCTCCTGTTCGTATTTGAGCTAAAAATTTAATCAAGCTTAACCTTAGCATTTGGGCTTAATGAACTAACAAAAAATGCTCACTCCAAATAGCTGTTTAGCTGGACAAAACCTGTTAAATCCAGTCTGGGTTGTTGTTTTGTCTATCCATGAACAGTGGTTCATCAACTTGTTAATAACTTCATTATTCATTTGGTTTTGTCTAGGTTTGGTCCATACTTGTGCCAACCTGTAATTGCTGGATTAGGAGAAGATGACAAGCCTTTTATTTGCACAATGGACTCTATTGGAGCAAAGTATGTTGAGTTTCTTTCTACTGCTTCAAGTTCTAGAATTTGGAGACTTGTGTACTCTGTCAGGGTCCCCATGGCATTGCATGCTTATCAATTGCTACTTATTAGATGTTATGCGTGTTGTGCAGGGAGCTCGCAAAAGATTTTGTTGTTTCTGGCACTGCATCTGAATCACTTTACGGTGCTTGTGAGGCCATGTACAAGCCCGACATGGTTTGTACTGTTCTTGCTTTATTTTTTGCCATATAATTAGATAATCTGTCTCTAGCTTGAATGCCATGTATTGCACGTCCATGTTTTTGTTATGTACTGAAAATAATCATCCTAGAGTTGCTGAGATGCTTTTATTTGATGCTTTGGAGTCTGATAGTTACTGTTCTCTGTTTTGATTTATTAAAACTGGTAGATTTGACAAATTTATTTTCTTTAAGCAGACACTGCTTGATGGGTGAAAAATCTGACATTAGTAATGCTCTCTGGGGGGGGGGGGTGGCGGAGTGCGATAACAATAGATAATATGAAGGAAGAGGAGGGTGGTGGTGGTGAATTAATATTGTTTGTGCAAGGAAAACTTGAACACGTCAGATCTCATTATATTGCCGGTTCACAACACAATTGTGGATGCTGCACTTTTTTAGTTGATCTGAAATGATGATACTGAGTAGAGCATAGAGATTATCATCTCCTAAGAACATAGGATTGGCTAGGAGAACATGGCAGCATGGGAAGTATACCACCATGTATTTTTTGAACTATCCATAACGAGAGTAGAATATTAAGCCATAATAATGTAAATATGTATTTTAAAATATTTCTATGACATTCTTTTTTGTAGACAGAGGATACCATTGTGTGCAAAATAATTGGGATAGCCAGATGTGCTATGGGTGGTTACGTCATTTGAGTCACTCGCTTTGAAAATTATTTCTGACACCATCTTTGTGTGATATCACCGAAATGATTTTTGACCAATAAACAAAATGAATAAGATGAGTATGACATGTATTTAAGTTTCCATCGAGGTTCATAACCTTCCATTCCAGACATTTTTGAAATTGAATTTCCATTCCAATATTGCTGGTGCATGCTTCAGAATTTTTCTCTGCTACTTCTTTGCAATGCTTCTGTTGTTTGTCGTGCATTTATTTCTTATTTTTATTGGCTTTATGGTTTCTTATTGTATGCTAACATTTCAGGGACCGGAAGAATTGTTTGAGACCATCTCTCAGGCACTGTTGTCATCTGTAGACCGTGACTGTTTAAGTGGTTGGGGAGGACATGTTTATGTTGTGTAAGTATTTAGATGCTTTCATATACCTATTTTATTGATCATCTATTTTTAGTAAGTGTCTACCAGAGTCTCTAATTGAAACAAATTATCCATCATCTATTATGTTCAAGATGGTGGTCTTTAAGGCAACAACAAACGGTGTGTGCCCAACATGTTTAGAGGGTTAGTTAATTCTAGAAAAGCGCTCTCCTAGAAGAGAAATTAGGAGTGTGCAGAGAAGATATGGCATTGTTAGGTATGGGAAGTGGTTGAGTTGGATTTGTGAAGGATCGGGTTTCCAATGTTGGAGATATGGTTCTTGCTTGGGGCTTGGGGAACGAGGGGAACTGGGTTTAGGAAAATGATAAGTCTTTAAGGCCTTGGCAGATTGAAGAGGCTTTACAAACTATGTTTCTCGGATCCTCCAGAAATACCGTTGAACTTGTCTTATACCCTCCAAAGATGAATAACTTTTGGAGGATTTGTCGGTCTAGGCGGCATTTTTAAGGATCTGAACAAAATTGCTGGTAGAAGGGGTGGTTGGTTGGAGAAAATGGTTACATGTCGTAGTTAATGAATGTTGAGATTCTCCACAACCTCCAACTACATGTTGCTGGTTGGAGTTTTCTGTTTCCTTTTTCATTTATTGATCCTTGGTGGGGGTGGGATGGGGATCATGACATATTTAATGAAATCATATTGGTTTTAAAGTGTTTGTGTTTTATGTTTTTGGGTACTCCAATCTTATTTGTTCCAATCCATGTATGTGGCTGCAGGACACCAACTGAAGTGACAGAGAGGATCTTGAAGGGAAGGATGGACTGAACACTTGTGGGGTGCTATACTTGTTCACTATTGCATTTCACTGGGATGACATTTCACTTGTTTTGATGAATACTCAACATTTCATATTTGATGTTATCGCATCGACTTCTCTCCAAGATTGTTATTTAATAGATTCAGTTGTCTGTCACTAATGGATGTTAACATTCTAGTTAGTTTACAATCCTCTATTTGAGCATCCCAACGAATTTCTGCTGCCATCACACACTAGACAAATTATACAGAAGATGAATCAATTTCTTTGGGGGGACTCCTTGTGGAATTGCAATATTGTAGGAAAGATAAATGTTGGAACTGATATTATTATACAATCTTTAATTTCCTCTGCATTCTTCCCAAGGCAGAAGAACGCCCAGTTGGGGAAGGTCTTGTACGCACTCTACCCTCACCAGACCCTGCTTATGGGACTACATTAGGTTTATTGTCGTCGTTTACCAGTTTTTGCGCAAAACCTATGTCACGTTTAAATCAGCCAACATTGGTTATGGCTTGACCAAAATGGTGTCAACATGATAATGTGATAGAGGTGTCTATTGCCAACTTGAGGGAAGAACAATGTATCAGCGCGAGGTTCATGAGTCAATGTGTATAGAGTTACTACCTGTTAAACAGAACGTAAGTAGTCACTTGAGACTCTTTTGTCATACACACACAAAGCTACACGCTACACGCTACACATCAAGACGAATGTGAGGCTCGTATTAAAGATAAACAGGTTAGTACTATTAAGTAGAAGAATTACAACACATCACCCCAAAGAAAAAAACCTGGGGCATATCTTTGGTTTTGATCCCAGTATGAAGCTCAATGAAGGGGAAAAAAGAGCTCATGTCGATTTAAGTTGAAGGAGCAATATCAAAGGAATGAAGAATCTGTTCCAACGTATTTCTTCTATCAGGATCAATAGGACCTTCTGACCCATCAGAGTGAGCGATGTTTAACAGATAGAGCTTGCCAGACGCAACAAATGCAGCAGAAAGTATCCTCTTCAACCCTCCCCTCGTGCTATCGACCTTGTATTCAAACTCATATACTTGAAGACCTCCTTCACCCGTTCTCTCCGATACTGAAACCACTTCAGCCTCCTTTGTACTTTCCTAAAAGTAAAAAAAGACATAGTACTATTAGTTGCCAATAATCCTTAGAAGCAAAAAAATTTCAGTGGGATCTACGGTCTTTCAACATCGTTTTATAAAGTCCAAATTTGAAAATCTCACTTGCTGATAGGATTGTAGGATAGGGGTAGAAGGTTAGCAGGTAGTGGAGGGTTGTTATTGCTTTTCGAGGGTTTAGGCTTCTTCGTGTTTGTTGTTGTACTAGCCGTATTATTCTTGCTTATGATATCTATCATCGTTTGTTGTTTAATGTGTTTCGACTATCACACTATTTTATTGTTCTTGTTCCTTTACTGTAGGCTTTACACTACTTCCTTTGTTAGTTGCTATGTTTCTTCTTCTTTGTACTTGGATTTGCTGCACTTCAGCTGAAGGTCTTTTGAAAACAGCCTCTCTAGCTCCACAAAGTAGTGGAAAGGTCTGCGTCCACTCTACTCTCCCCAGACTCTACTTGTGGGATTTCACTAGCTATGTTGTTGTTGTTACCTTCGGATATGATTCACCACTAGAATGCAAAATATGTGAACAATAACCACTAGAATCTCAACCTCATTAATACTCTTCGACTTGCTACCACTTCCTCATTAGTAAATATAATAGCAAAGTAAAAGGATTCTGACCTTGCGCTTTTCAGCAAGAATTAGCTTATCTGCCACGAATTGTGGAGTTCCGAATTGGCTGAGGGTTGTTATTTTTACAGGTATAACCACGACGCCTACATTGTTGGATCCCTTGTTTGCATCCTGAAACAGGGCAGTTGCCCCAGCTTTATCAACCTGAAGAACCCAATAATAGCATAATCAGTATCCAAAAACCTCTTCATCTGGTAAAACTCTGAGAGTGATTTTTTTTCTCCTTCGCACAACATCAATCATGATAACGATTTTGGTCTAGGGTGGTAATCAACACTGAAATCCCATGTTGTTCGGACTCTAAAAAATGTCAAAAGTACGTGTCGAATTCACCAAAAGTAGTGTACTTTTGAAAAGTAGCTGAGTATGTTTGGCAAAACCAATTTGAAAAGCATATTTAGTCAATATTAGAATCATCAATTTGTGCTTGATTGATGTCCCAAAAGTGATTCCAAAACTCAACTTCTAAAATGACCAAAAACTTTTTAAAACATTACTCCCTTTGTCCCAATTTTTATCACTAGAATGCCACATTTCTAATAACAATTTAATTTCAAAATGTTCATTTTAGCCTAAATGAAACGACTCTTAACCAAACTACGAATTACTTGGAATCACAAGTCTCAAAAGACTTCCTTTCTTAAACTCCGTTTATGTCAAATAACATCGCATCATATAAAATGAAAGTGAGTTCAACCCTCACTTTCAACCGAAGGTTGCGAATTCGAGTCACCAATTAATTAGCGAAAAGCTGCAAATACAATTATCAATAATCAATTAATTTAGGGCAAATCGAACCTTGCTCCAAGAAGAAGGTTTGAGGAGAGTGAAACCTTCAGCTGAATCCGTATATCTTTCAAGCTCTAACACCTCACCAATGGCAATAGCGAAGCTTGAGAAAGGTATCGAAAGCAACACCGTCAAGATTGATACGTTCAGGGCTCGTCTTCTCGTTGAATAAGTTGGAACCAACTCATCCTCATTCGATAACACAACTAAGGATCTGCTTCTCGTTTTCAACTGCAATGGAGTGATAATGGATGATATGCTCGGGAGACACTGAAAGAAGCCATTTCGAAAGATATTTGAGCAAACCAGTGAGCTAATGGCGGACATTTGTGTGTTACGGTAATTGAGAGGAGATGAAAGGAAGGGTCATCTTATTTGTGCTGCCTCTGCCTTACATGAACTGAGCTGAGGTCCATTTGTTTTTATCAACATTATTAGCATGTCTCAATCTTAAAAAAAAAAAAACATGAAAATATTTTTTTTAATTTTTTGGATAATAAGTGAATTTTTTATTTATAGTTTTAAATTTTTTTTAATATAACTCTTGAAATAAACGGATTTATTTATTGACGAATTATATGAAATAGTAAAATTCATACAAAGTATTGAAATGATATAAAACAAATAAAGTAAATATTTACTTTTTGGATTTGTATTAATTGATCAATATTATCTTACTAAATAAAAAAATATTAATTCAATTCATTTTGTATTTTAGCCTTGCAATTTTTTTAAATTTTTTTTATAAGTGCTCATGTTCAAATCTAAGATTATGAGAAGTAAATTTTGTGAGAGGTGTATAAAAACCTTTAAATAAAAAATAACATAAATATATAAATATGATTCTTCACTTGACATTAGCTGACATGTCTTAAATTTTGAGTGTGCACAAGACTAACAATTATGTCCTTCAATTTTGAGTGTGCACAAGGCGTTAACTGTGTTCTCCAACTTTGAGTATATATAAAGTTATGATGCAACATAAGATGAATGTGTTTGTTTAATTTTATTTAAATATTATTTTTACATACTTAAAATTTAAAGTCATAATTATCGAAGGACGTTAAACTAAATATGATGTGTTACGTCAATAAATAAACTATTACAAGGAAAAAAAAAACAAATACAAAATCAACCACATATATGAACTGAGAAAAATAACCATTGTAAATTTCCCCTTTTCAGTTGTGAGCGGTGGAAAATTGTTCGACGTGGAAGACGATACGTTCGATGGCGAAATAGCAGAAAACCTAAAAATAAGGAAATTGAGAGCAAAAATCTGAAATTATAGTCCATTTCTATGGTCATGTCAATGTCCCTGCGACTTTGTTGCAGACCTTCAATTTCTGTAAGTTTATAATAATCTAACCAGCAGCAAATTTTATCTAATTGTTGATTTCGTTGATGTTTTTATGCTAAATTGCTGTAAGTTTTAGATTTATGAGATACATTTCTAGACGTATAGTGGGAAGTGTTTTCTCTCTCTTTTGTTTCTTCTTCCCTTTTTTGTTTTGTTTTGTTTTTGCTTTTGAAGTTTGATCTAATCATATGGCGCCTATGGGTTGGGTAGGCTTAGTGGTCAATGACGTAAGTTAAGTTGTAAGTATCATGAGGTTTGAAGTTCAATTCTCAATAGAAACAAAAACACTAGTTGATTTGGATCGAGGTATGTGGCATTTGTTGCTGGTGACAGGTGATAGGTATATGTGGAATTAGTCGAGGTGTAAAAGTTGGTCCAAGCAGTTCGGTTATAAGAAAAAAAGGTTATCATATGCGAGGACCAAATGACCCGTACATGTATCTTTTAGTTAGATAAAAATGGACTTGGTGCCAGTTCGCTTGCACTTTGACTAATATCAAGTGTATTTGCTACCTCACACCAGTAAATACCGAGTAAGTGCCCGTTTGGATTGACTTATTTTAGGTGCTTTTAAGCCAAAATAGCTTTTAATCAGTTTTGAAGTGTTTGGGTAAAGCTAAAATGACAGAAATAAGTTAAAAGTCAAACTCCAGAAAATCTTACTTATGACTTTTGGCTTATAATTCATAAGCCAAAAGCCAATCCAAACAGGCCCTAACACTATCCATCAAGCTGTCCTTACTCCTTACCTCGTATTTTTGCATCGGTTGTTGGTTAAACCTGACACCTTCCGATTCTCAACCTACTTCGTTGTCCATACTAGACCAGTATATTTATACAAGGGGATTCAAAAGAGTGCTAGAATATCACAACTGGAAATTGGAATTGTGAATTAAAGCAAATACTTGGTAGCTCTGTCTATCAAGGCTGTCCTTACTTAGTATTTTTGTTTCAGCTAGGTTTTATACATGACACCTCATATTCTCAACGTCCTTCATTGACCACTAGACTAATATATTTGTTCACGGGGATTCAAAGAAGTGCTAGAATATCACAATTAGAAATTGTAGCTGTGACTTAAAGCAAATTTTTGAACCTTTCTTTATTACTACGCTGGAATCTTCTGTTTATATTCAACAATTTACACAACAACTACCTCATATATATAACAAAAGATAGTTCATTTTTACTCTATTTGGACAGTATGATTTACAGTGAAGGGGATTCAATTGAACCCCTTATCTTTACTTAGCTCCAAAGTCCAAACCTTTTCTTTTGGATATTAGAGTGATGGTACCTATAATATAACATTTTTGGTGGTGTGGATAAATTATAATGATAACATGCGAATTGAATGGGCAGGGTTTCAAGAATAAAAGAGATTTGTTGGGCTTAGAATTGGCAGGTAAGTCTTTGTTCATGAAAACCAAGTTCTTAATGTATGAACTTATTAGATGGCTCTGGCTCTGAGCAGTTTTTTTTCTTTTGTGTTTACAGCTTATCAATCAAGTAAGACAATGGGGAAATGGTTAAGTGGAGTGAAGAAGTTCATTCCCTTTGAGGGATATGTTAAGTCTGTGAAAACGGCAGCACGAATATCATTTCCAAAGATCTCAGCAGACTGTCAAGATAAAGAGCCTTCAAATTTTTTGAGTCACAAGAAGATGGTTCCTTATTCGAACCCCCCTAGCACGGAAGATGTGGATAGTTTGTATGAATTCTTTGATAGAAGGTAGGAATTGTGCTCCTTCTCTGTTTTGAATTAGAAAGGTCAAAAAAATACAAAACGGAAGTTTAACTAATTCTATTGTGCTGGAGAATACTTGGTTATACTTGGAGAAATTTGGTCGATTAGTTGTTTGCCGTTTTTCTTTTGTGCTGGTTGATTAATTGTGAAATGTGTTTTACTACAAAAGAGAGTGCAACTGAATTAGCATTTCCTAAGCAATAATCAAAGATAGAATCCCTTGAAACTTATGACATCATTTACATCAAATCCCTCAATTTATTTCTTGCATTTGGTAGATTTATAACAATAACAAGACCGTTGATTCTGACTACACTTCTCTTTACTGCTATTAAGTTCAATATTTTGAAGTCATAAAATTCAAAAAAAAAAAGAGGAAGAAAGATATTATTTCAAAGTCGTTTAGCTAAATAATATGTAGTTAAAAGTCCAAGTAGCTAAAGTTTTTGTGATATAATACACATAGTATAGATGTGTTTTTAATTATTATCTGAATTGACTACTACTATGTGATAGGCCTACATGCAATTACTTTCTATATTACAAACTAGAGCTTTAGTGGTGATTCATTTGCTGATTCTTTAATTGTAGGTCAAATTGGGTGTCCCTTTAACCACACTTCAGTTATAAAATACTACTTCCTTTTGTGTTTTCTTCTAATATCAACTACACTATGATATCAATTACTGACTGGTTCCTTTCCATTGTTTTTGTAGTACCAAGCTTGTTGTATTGACGGGAGCTGGCATGAGCACAGAGAGTGGAATTCCGGATTACAGAAGGTTGGTTTAAAACTAGATGAGCATGCTCAACGTTCTCAGCAGTTAACAGTTTGATCATTCTCTGAAGTTGATAATCTGAGTTACACTTCAAAAGGAAATACATTTTTACTGCAAAGGGAGGAAGACGTTGTCAATATTTAATTTCTTATCCTAGCTGAGTTACATTTCTATAAAGGAAGACACATTTCTTATTAAAATAAGAAGGCTGTCAACATTTAGTTTTACTGCTATTTGGTGCAGTTATAAACAAATTAAAACATCTGACTTTTTGGGTGTTGAGCATTTATATAAATTGTATGAAGTGAGGATTAAATCTGAAAGTGCGGCGAGATGTCCTGTTTGATTCAATGCTGGACGGTATGTGAAACCAAAGTTTCTTTGTAATTACTCTATTTTGAGCATTCCCTGCAGTTTTCGCCTTTTTCTATAGGGTGGTACGTCTGTGTTGTGTTTAAGAGTGTAGTTGGGGATTCAGTATTACAGCTTTGTGCTGCTTCTAGATTTTATTTTGGGCTGTATAAAGAAGTTAAGTGATATTTTTGGACAAATGGTAATGCTTTTCCCTCTTCTCTTGGCAGCCCAAACGGAGCTTATAGTACGGGTTTCAAACCAATTACCCATCAGGTGATTTGAAGGCATGTGCTATGATTCTGGGTTCCATTAAAGTGTCATTATTCATTTATAAATACCATTTCTTGCATATTTGAAAGAGGAAAAAGAATGTATTAGTCTACTACGGATTTAGTTCTGTTCATCTCTAGACCTATATATTTCTTGTAGACAATAAATCCTACATGAATTTAGTTGTGGTCATCTCCAGAAATATATACATGATACAACAACAGTCCCAAATAAATCAGGATTGACTTATGAATACTCATGATTCTCTATTTAAGCTCAAATCATGTCATCATCATACCCAAAAAGTACTTTAAAAAATAAGTTAGACCTATTCCCAACTAGTAGATCTCATCTATATGGATCTTTTCCTTCTGCTGTGTCCTATCTTTAGCTAAGTGTGCTTTGATTCCCAGAAATTGTAGGTCTTTCGAGACAACTTCCTTATTGTGATTCCTACCTCTTCCTCGTTAACACGTTCACTCACCATAGTTGCATTTGCACATCTATGAACAAGATGTACTGGTTGCAGCTGTAGGTCGATGCAGAGCATGACCAAACATCTCAGGCAACCTTCTCCCGTTTTATCCTCAATGCATACTACTTGCACTGTCTGGCAAATTTGATCATTTCTTAATCTTATCCATCCTTCGGGCTATCACATTATACCCTAGTAGCACTTCTCCATTTCAACCATTTAGTGCTAATTCCCGGAGTAATATCTAGATATGCAAACTGATTGTACTTTGGCACCACCACCCCGTGTAGTCTCACCTCAACTTCGCTCTTCTCATGCTGACTAAACTTGCATGCGTGTCAATTATTCCACTAGTTAGTTGCTACCTCTTGCCAGAACAGGTACCGACTCTATGTTGCTCAGATTCTCCATAAATGATGTTGCAGC